TTAATGAGAAGTAATCGGGGAATACGTCTACTTCTTGAGGAGTAGAGAGTTGTAGGCCAGAGGATAGGGCGCCGCATAGGTGTAGGCGCTGTAGCCAAGAGGTGCGGCCAGAGGTGCGTGAAGTGGTGCGGCGTAAGCGTAGGGCGAAGCGGCCACAACAGCCGGTGCTCCGTACGTGTTGTACACGCGACCAGTCAATGAGCTGGAGTACTGGCCAGTGGTGAGGTCGTAGTAATTTCCGGCCCAGTCTTTCACACCACCGATGGCGGCGACGGCGGCGATGAACGCGAAAGCGATCGCGAGAACAAACTTTTCATCAGAAAAATCAATTAAAAATCTTTAGTACGGATTGCGTTTGCATTGCATTGTAGTTATAAAACTCACGAATTTGTTGGATGGATGTCCTCTTAGGCATAATCTGTGCGCTCTTCACGTATGGACTGTTGCTGTTCGCCGAGTATGTGGTGATCGAAGTGATCATAATTCCCGAGCAGAACCTCATCTACAAGACCATCAACTTTATCATCTTCGAAGGCTTGGCATTCCTGGCCCTCAGCTCACACCTCAGGACAATGCTAACCGACCCGGTATTGTATGCCTCACCATATCATAGGACACACTCTCACCTCAAGAGTCTATTTTAGTCTTCATTTTACTTTTCATTTTGACTCTTATTTTCGTTTTAATTAATTACCATTTAATGAAATATTTATTTTTGAAAATTGTTTCATTTTTTTGTGAGAAACTGATGATTGAATAGAGATATAAAAAATGTGATAATATTTCAGGTTTTTAATGATTACTTCTAATAATATCGTCCCAAACCTGTCATTAAAAATTGTCTTTTATTTTAATTTTTGATTTGAATTTTAAGTTTTGCGTTTAAATCATCAAATATTATCAAACTTTGTCTCATATTTGCATAAAATTAGCTTTAATTACATCGTCTAAACTATAAATAAACTCATTTTGCGTTTAATCAACGAATTTATTAATTTTAATTTCGTTATGATAAGTAGTTTCTAAATATCTTTATTTTATGAAAACATTTAAATGTGAAATAATCTGAATATATATTTGAATGCAAATTGCTGTCAATTATAGGGCGCTGTCCCGAGAGGAACGGCCACATCGTTATGATAAGTAGTTTCTAAATATCTTTATTTTATGAAAACATTTAAATGTGAAATAATCTGAATATATATTTGAATGCAAATTGCTGTCAATTATAGGGCGCTGTCCCGAGAGGAACGGCCACTAAGGAAGCGATCGAACAGTTGGGCCTAAGCGAGGGTCAGGTGCTCTACAAGTGCCAGAAGTGCTGCTCAATTAAGCCCGAGAGAGCACACCATTGCAGTGTATGTCAGCGATGTATCCGCAAAATGGATCGTAAGTCACATATACTGTATAAATGCANAGCGAGGGTCAGGTGCTCTACAAGTGCCAGAAGTGCTGCTCAATTAAGCCCGAGAGAGCACACCATTGCAGTGTATGTCAGCGATGTATCCGCAAAATGGATCGTAAGTCACATATACTGTATAAATGCAAACTCAACACATCACTAATTATCTCACATTAGTAACAGTTATCTTAATGTTAATTCTGTATAATTACCAAGTTATAGTCAATTCAGTGTTAACTTTATTAGTAAATTACTAAATGTTTTTACATTATGATAGACTCAGAATATGCCTGTAATTATAACTTAGTATTAGACAATAAATTCTGAGGACAGTATACAGGTATTATAGATTATATATCTGTACACCAATATTACAGTACTATACCGGTAATATAAATATTGAATGAATGATATTACCGGTAATAAATGAAAACTAATGTCATATATTGTATGAAACAGATCATTGTCCCTGGGTTAACAACTGTGTTGGTGAAAATAATCAAAAGTTCTTCGTTTTATTCACAGTAAGAACTGCCGTATATTGTAATATGCATTCAATCATAATTTATGCTCATTATATTTTATTTTCAGTTATATATAGCAATCATATCATGTCATGCATTGATCCTTTCGGTCACACATTTCTATAAATGCATTGAAAATGACTGGAAAAGTATGGATTTTAATCTTGTTAATTTCATCGTTAAGAATCCTAGTATTCAATTTTTGATTATTTTTTATATAATTTATTATTGATATTTCCATTTTAAAACATTACACTAAATTGAATACAATTTGAATGGACAGATTGTGGCACAACATATATGGATCCCATAACGGGCTCCACCACATCGGCGCCGACCCCATGGACTATAATCCTATTGGTGTGTCTGGTGTTCGAGGCGCTGCTGTTCGCCATATTCACGCTAATCATGTTTGGGGTTCAGGTGCAGGCCATATGGCACGACCAGACCGGCATTGAACAGCTCAAGAAAGAGACCAATAATTGGCATAAAAGGCACTCTTGGAAGAGCTTCACATCAGTGTTCGGCAAAGGCTTTAGTCTTCATTGGTTCTCTCCATTTACAAGAGTATCAGTCGGTGGCAGAGTTGAGACAAACTTCACTTATGCCGTATAACACCCGCTCTATTGTAGTCTATGGCATACCAGTGGCCTATTTGTGAACACATTTTAACTTAAAGTTTTTCTAAACGAATGTTTCGATCGGTTTATTTATTTTTATAGTTTTTATAAGTATTATTAGTTTAATATAATATAGTTTGAAATCATTGTTTAACAGATGAGTTGTCTCTCATGTGATGACTATGTTTTATGCGACAAATTATTTGTTAAACTGTTTTTTAATTTATTATAAATTACGATTAAAATTAAGTTCATATAATTTACTGAACACTTGCAGTCAAATGTATTTGACAGTTCCCTGACTCAATTTGTTATCGTATTATAAGTTTTGACTTTTAAATGACAATTTTTGTATTTTTTAAACAACTGATTGCCACCGTATGATGAATGCAAGTGATTGATGCGAATGTAGTTTTACATGTTAATATCAAAACTATTTTATTTTTATGTAAATTGTTAAGTATGATAGATAAGTCATAAGAATAATATATTTAATTTAAATGTTTTAATACCTATTTAATTATATCGATATATAATTAAATTTAATCATCGATTAGCAGTTTAATCATGAACAAATTAGTGGCCATCGAAAACAGTACTTTACAGTAAAGTGACTTATAATGAACTTAATTTTGACTGATTTTTAAAATAAATTACTCATGTAATTAAATGTAACAAATTTTGTAAATAAATAGACACAATTTTTGCTATTAACTACATTTTTATTGTAAACCAATTATATATTTACAACGATTTAAAGACACGAATTTGTTTAATTTAGAAGTTTTTAGACTTAGGTATCAAATGCTGAGAAAATTGATGTCTTAATGAGAAGTAATCGGGGAATACGTCTACTTCTTGAGGAGTAGGGAGTTGTAGGCCAGAGGATAGGGCGCCGCATAGGTGTAGGCGCTGTAGCCAAGAGGTGCGGCCAGAGGTGCGTGAAGTGGTGCGGCGTAAGCGTAGGGCGAAGCGTAGGGCGAAGCGGCCACAACAGCCGGTGCTCCGTACGTGTTGTACACGCGACCAGTCAATGAGCTGGAGTACTGGCCAGTGGTGAGGTCGTAGTAATTTCCGGCCCAGTCTTTCACACCACTGATGGCGGCGACGGCGGCGATGAACGCGAAAGCGATCGCGAGAACAAACTTTTCATCAGAAAAATCAATTAAATATCTTTAGTACGGATTGCGTTTGCATTGTAATTATAAAACTCACGAATTTGTTGGCCATTATTGAGAGTTTGTGTTTTGACAGGATTTCAAAAAACTATTGAAAAGTTTGAATTTTGAGTTGTCTTTTATATCCAATGGTTTCATTGTACGCGAGGCCACGCTATCCGCGCCCAACAGTTATACAGTTTATCCATAATCTGTTTGCTTTCCACCCAAATGACGAACATTTGGTAATACTTTTCCCATTCATACCTTTCCATTCCTGGTTCGCTCCCTTTCACTATAATTTCATATTTGAGGCATTTTTTGTCTCTCCAACTCCTCCTCAGTGGCCTTTCGTACCGAAGGACACACTTCTCATCAATAAGACAATGAATGCTTGGGATTAATGGGAAAAACAACAAAATACCAAATCTTCCCTCAAAACCAATCCTCAGTTCCTGACGTCTTTAGGAACTAATGAAAGATTTTTATGTATTATTGCTTTCAATTACAATACGCTTAAAGAAAATATGTATTTCCTTAAATAATCACAATAAATAATAATATGTATTAAATTGTTATTATGCATGAATACATCATCATATTTTATAATTTCTAAATATATAATGTATTACACAATATAATAGCTCTTAAGTGAGTTTAATCCACATATAAAATTTATTTGATATATTTTAATAATATATTTTGCCTTTTACTCGAGCATTGATTCCTAACTTTTTAATAGTTTGTATCTCAAGGATGAAAAGCATTCAATTGAATACCTATTAAAGCACAACTCATCACAACTTTTTTCTATATATCAAGTTTTGACCCAATTTTTGTTGTTTAAGTTTCGGTCAGAAAAGTGAAGGTTAGAAACAATATTTGGATTAATATTTCAATTTTGATGTATAGATAGACAATACAATAAAACGTGAGATTAAGGTTAAGTTATTCTTTAGAAGTCACATAACGTTTTGAGTCGATGTCTAACATTTCATTACATTTCCAATGATTTCAGTTTCACTTTTTCTGTAGATATTTCTTCAATGTTTTACATAAATAACAGTTTTTTAATTAAATTGTTTCAAAGCAACCGATAATTACACGAAATTTTGTCATGAATTCCATTATAAACAAGAATTTCAATGATTGATAGACTAATTGCACACAAATTTATATCTTAATATTGAGCTACTCTTCTATTATCGTTAAAATCAGTGTTTTATTAGTTTTGTTGAAAGATTGCTAAGAAATCTGAGCATATTTTGAAAATATTTTATAATCATTGACTTGAATGATTTTAGTATAATCTCAATATCAAATTAATTAAAATATTTTTGTGATATAAAAAATATTATAGATTTTAAAATTAATTTTAGGCAAACTTTTTATTTGAAAAATTGTGTCAAATATATTTTCATAAAACCATACTTTTGAATAATATGCAAATAACTGAAAACTTGGAAAAATTTAAATGAATTTTCATTCATATATTCATTTAAATGATACATATTTGCGATTTCTTTATTTAAAATTAATATTTCATTGTATTTGATAACAAAGAGCTTTCATTGATTTTGGATTGAAAACCAATAAATTATAATATTGTGAATTGAAATCTTAAAATTGAATGTTTAAGTGGGCAGAGAGTGAGAGTGATTACTTATTTGATATACAATGTTAAGCCATAAATGATAGAAATACAGAATTTTAAATAATACATTAATATTTTCTGATGTATTAGATCTATAGAAATATAACATACACGTAGTATTGTAATTACACGTAGAATAGTACAGTATAAATAATATACATTATAAGATAGACTATAATATAATAAAACATATAGTAATCTATTGTATAAATTTTGATATGTATTAAGTATAACACAGTATCACTTTAATCCTATACTAGTACTATACTGTAGATACAAAATCGAAAAATTTAAATTAATTAAATATGTATTGGTTACAAATTAATATGATAAACTGAAACAAACACCCTGCTGACTCTATGATCGAATGAATCGGAAATGAAATTGTAAAAATTTTAATGCTACGAAATGTGCAAAATATTTTATTTAGTTAATTTAATGAATGTGATGAAAATATGATGTAATATTAATAGAATAAATACGAGTATTTTCTTATATTATTAATATTGTAATTTATTAACATAATTTTTAAGATTAAAATATTGAATATAGTCAATTACCAGATTATAAATTATTTATAATATTATAAATAATATTAGAAAATCAACAATTTATCAATATTGTTATTAAAAGTTTTAAATATTTTACGCGATATAAGGCGCTAAATTTTGATCATAGTAAATTGTTATTAGTTATTAATTACAGAAATTACTGATTATTAGGTTTCTTTCAATGAAAATATCATAAAAATAATAACATAAAATTAATATTTTGAAATAGCTTTTAATTTACTTTAATTGAATTAATTGGTAATAACCATAAAGTGTTATCTTATGAATGTCTATATTTTATGTGTTAAAAGTCCTCTACCAAAAAAGTGCTACTTTTTATCTTTTATAGCTTTGCTTACTTACTGATGTGTTTTAGATTTCAATCACTTATCATAATTGATTTTAGTAATTAAAATTGACTTTATTGATAATTATTTACTATTTACTTGTAATTTTATAGGATTTGTAAAATTAAACTGAAAATTGTTACTTGTTTTATAGTTTTATATTTTAAGCATTGATTTTGTTTAACATATTGTAAAATTAAATTTTAGCAAATATTGTTTAGAATCTAAACTTTAGATTATAAAAAGAAATATTAATAATTGAAATGTAATTTATTCGCGAAAATAATTAAAATAATATTGTTAAATTAATCATATTGTAAACACGCTTATTAACATGTGGTTTTCTATGATAGCAATCCATTATTTATCAGTTGAGATGAATTTTATTAAGATTTCCGTCAAAATTGACAGTTATTTCAATGATATAATGATAATTTCTATTCCTATAAAAATATACTTAAGTTTTGTTCAAAAATGATTCGTCAATGAAATTGATTGATATGTTTTGTTCAAGACCTACATTTACAGCTAATTTCAAATTAATATATTATTTAAGAGTCAAAATATTTTGAAATCAAATGTTGTAATCGTGTTATTATACTGTGTGTTCAAAAATCATTGATTACTTATAGGAAGACTACAACAACAGCTATTAGTAAAACTTATGCAATGATTACTAGTATGCACTCAAATATTATCAAAGAGTTTTATTTTTATTTAAATATTATATCAAATGATTTAACATATCATTTGATAGTCATAAAAGAGATTTTCATAAAGAAAATCATTTAAAATAATAAGCAATAAGAGTATAATTATTGTGGCCTTCACTCAGATCACGGCTAATGTTATTAACGGATAATTCTCTTCTCATAAATACTTTTGTCTAATAATAAGACATAATATGAGACAACAATTCATTTCTGAAAGATTTCCATAAATTATATATTATGACAGTACAAAGTCAGTACATTTGAATAGATTTTGTCAAAAAAAGATTTTTATAATATTTTTAAAAATTGACAAGATATTACTGTTAAAATTATTGACTCAATGAATTATATTATTTAATTTAGAAAAAATGTATAAATTTTTAAATTTTTATTTTGATCGTGTCACAACATTGCTTTATATTTAGCATTTCTAAATGTTAGAAATGGGAAATCCATGTTCGCAGCATCCAGATCCCACATAGGACACAGAGTTTTATTTTTATTTAAATATTATATAAAATGATTTAACATATCATTTGATAGTCATAAAAGAGATTTTCATAAAGAAAATCATTTAAAATAATAAGCAATAAGAGTATAATTATTGTGGCCTTCACT